CCCCTGCCCTTCACCAGCGTGGGCAGAAGGATGTCCAAGTGCTCACAACTGTGGAGGAAGCAGCTCTGGCTGCGTTTCCCTTCTGCTCCCTGCGGAGTTGGGGGAGCACACAAGCCAAGGCCAGATTTAGCTCTTGGATCCACATGAAACATCTCTCTGCCGACTGCTCCCTTCCTTCGTGCTTAGCCTCTTGTCACGGGAGTGGAAGTCGTACACACACACAAGGGGAACAGAAAAGCCAAGTCAATATGCAGCAGGCAGAGCTGGGAACACAATGTGGGCAAAACAAAGAGCGGGGCTGTATTTACTGCCTTCCTGGTGGCATTCACTTCTTGTGCTTGGAGCTGGTTTCCTCTTTTCACGAGCCTCTTGACCTGCAGATCCCTCTCCTCAGCAGACAGACCCCCAAAGCCCCATGGCTGGATCCTTAGGCCTCTTGAGATCAAACCAGCAAAACACTTTTAACACAGAGCTTGAGCTGTGTTTGCAGCGAGGCTTTAAGCTCCTTGGTGCTGACACCCGGGGTTCCTATTTGTTCTCCAGCTCCTGAGGACAGCAGCGGTGCTAAGTCAATACAAACAAACCACGAGAGGCTTGAGGCAGCATGGCAGAGTACTGCAGCCCTGGGACTGGGCCATGCTCTGGCCCATGCAAGGTGCCTCCAGCTCTGATCTGGGCTGTCAGCTCAGACCAGCACCCCCAACCTGGCAGAACAAGGAACTTCCTCAGAAGGGCATCCGTTGCCCCTCCTGTGCCACTGAGACACCCAGCTTTGGTGCGAGGCGCTTTGACAGCTCCTGTAAAACCCCATCAGGTTTTCAAATCCAAAGTGCTGGATATTCAAGCCCCCTCTTTCTCCAGGCACTCTCGCGCTGCAGAGTGTGTGGGTGCAGGTGGAGCTGTCGGGGCCTCTCACTTGATTCATTTCATAGAATCACAGGATTATTTAGGTTGGAAAAGACCTTTCAGATCATCAACTATTAACCCAGTATTGCCAACTTTATCACTAAACCATGTCCCCAGGTGCCACATCTACACATCTGAAATGCCTTCAGGGATGGGGACTCCACCACCTCCCTGGGCAGCCTGTTCCAGTGGTTGACAATCCTTTCAGGGAGGAATTTTTTCCTAATATCCAATCTAAACCTCCCCTGGTGCCACTTGAGGCAGTTCCCTCTCATCCTATTGCTTGTTACTTGGGAGAAGAGACAAACCCCCGCCTCGCTCCATCCTCCTGTCAGGCAGTTGTAGAGAGGGATAAGGTCCTCCCGACCCTTCTCTTCTCCAGACTAAACCCCGCCAGGTCCCTCAGCCCTTCCCCATCACACTTGTGCTCCAGGCCCTGCATCAGCTCCATTGCCCTTCTCTGGCCCCGCTCCAGCTCTTCAATGTCTCTCTTGTAGTGAGGGGCCCAGAACTGAACACAGGATTTGAGGTGCGGCTTCACCAGTGCCCAGTACAAGGGGACAATCACTGCCCTGGCTCTGCTGCCACACTATTTCTGATACAGGTCAGATGCTCGTGGCCTTTTTGGCTACCTGATCACACTGCTGGACATGTTCAGCAGCCATCAATCATCACCCCCCGGTCCCTTTCTGCTGAGCACCTTTCCAGGCACTCCTCTCCCAGCCTGTAGTGTTGTGTGGGATTGTTGTGACCCAGCATAGCTGGGCCTTTGGGTGCAGATGTATGAAGTGGTTCGCAAGCAGACATTTGAAAGAGCACTGAGCACAGGGCAGGAGACACCTCTGAGCCCATATTCAGCTTTCAGGCAGCTCTATCCTGTGGCATCCGACCTTCCTGTAAGCTTAGCCAAGTGTATCCAGCAATGTGGTGTGCATTGTGTGACGGCTTTGCAGAAATAGGGCTGTGAAACGGATGCTCTGCAGCCGCCGTGACCTTAAAACCTATTGCTGGGTCATCCAGCAGAGAATCAGAATTCCTTCCCAACAGCTGAGTGTGGGTGCCCTTCAGGAACTGCTTTTCCGCTTTGGCTAGCCAGAGCTCCTGCCTGCCAGGACTGTCTCACCGCACTGTCAGCTGAGATTCAGGAATGTGTCTAAGCTACACCTAATACCTCAACCTGCATTTTTCACAGCCTGACACAGTTTTAAACTCCTCTCCATCAGCTATGGCCAGCAGCCTTCAGAGATGAGCAGTGGTTTTAATTGATTCACCAAGACTCCTGCTAATTTGTTTTTTGCTCAATTGTTGCAGTATATTTCATTCCAAACGATTACGCTCTGGAGTCAAGCTTCCTTCAGGTAATTTACAGCATAGCCTACGTATGTGTAAAAAATTTATCGTGATCGTGGTTTTAATTAAAATGCATACGATAATACCAAAAGGAGAGAGGGGGAGGAAGGGAGGGAACCCAGATTAAGTTTTTAATTGTTTTAATAGTGAGATTTGTTTCCGTGAGAACAGGGCATATTGGTTTCCTTGGAAACATTGGCGATGTATTAGCTGTATAAAGTCTAGCATAAAAGATTTGGGAAAGTGAAGCCTTTAGGTTTTAACTGATATTATAACTCTTTTCATTTGGAAAATCAGATTCACATGTGGCCCCTAGAGTCCCCAGAAGGTGTCTTTTTTTGTGGTTTTCTCTTAAGCCTTAGAATTAATGATTTCACAGATAATCAGAATCATTAGAAACCTAAAATTGCAGTAACAACAACAAAAAAGCCTTCAACAATTCAATATCCCTGATTCATACGATTTAATTAGATGTGCCCATAAGTTCTCTTTTTGCCAAGCAGTACCAGGCTCAGGCAAGTCTCTACATGGTTTGAGAAAGAAGTACAAAACTTTGGCGTTTAAACATTCCAATAAAAGTAGAGATTATTGGTGATGGAGCAGTAGGTGATGTTTTATGTACATCCCACGTTATTTTATTGTATGCGCCACCACTACCTGGATGTACAATACATAATGCACTCCAGGCAGGTTCAAGTTCAGGGTATTGCTGTCGCTGCTGCTCACTGTCTGGCCTCGCACAAAGTCTCTGCTGCCTCTGTTTTTCCTGGCATTGGTCTTAGGAAAGAGAGAAACCCCCGAGAGCATCATCCCCAGAGCCAGCACGTCAGGTTTGGAGCTCCAACACCCCACGGCACCACAGGAGGTCAAATGTACATTTTAGGGTTGTTCTCACCCGAAGTTAAAACACTTTCTTGTCATTCTCTTTGAAAATTAGGCTCTCAAATTATCAATTTTGTCTCTTTTGTGTTCGAAAAGCCTCGTGAGGGAGGATTCAGCTCTCTGCAGTCAAGTGGGATTGAAACAACCAATTTTAATATCTGTGATTCACCTTTCTAAGCCCAAACTGTGATAATACAGTGCATCTGGGGATCAAATACTGCAAACACTCTCTTTCAAACAAAAGGAGGGGGGAAAAAAAGACTGCAGATAAAGTACCAGATGTAGGATTTTGGACTATCACAGAAAAGAATGGATGGCTTGGTTTTAGCGTGTAAGACTAATCACTCAGTTGAAATCATTTCAGCAGCTGAGTAAATAGACTCACGGAAAGGCATTTATGGGATCATTTGTGTTCCAGGATCCTCCCTCTCTCCTAGTCCTCCTGTTTGTTTGTTTTTCTGTCTCTTTGGTGTTGAAGCTTCCCAGTTAACAGGTTTATTAGGTAGTGATGACGATGTCAAATGCGCAGCTAGGCAATGCACATCGCCCCGCGGCTGCACGGCGGCTGTAGGGCCGAGCAAATGGAGTGCAAGTTCAACAGCTCGTCCATGAACAATGGGCCTCTCTGCAGCACCGGCCTGTTCAGCTGCGTGCTTGGCTCGCTGCCACCCAGAGCCATGGCCACTCGAGCCCGAGCTCAGCTCCACCACGCACGTCTTGTCACCTTTCCCTTCTGCTCCGGTGTGATTCCCACCAGCAGCACCCCGCCTGCACGTCTCCCAGCGCATCCCGGGTGACTTCCTGAGCGTTGTTTCCCAAAGTGGCACTTGGGGGGGGGCATAAAATAACGGGAGCCCAACGGGAAGTACAGTTCAGGGCACGGCTGGAGCAGCGGAACCCTGCAGGCCGCGCCGCTGCTGTACGTGCACAGAACGGGCTCGGGCACCCGCCCCTCCACAGGCGGCGCGCACCCGAGGGGCACGGCGGGCGCAGGCCGAGCCCTGGCTGCGGGGCTCCCCCGCCGTGCTGGAGCTGCCGCGCCCCTCGCGCCCCGGCACTGGCTCTTTAAGGCGGCGGCGCGGGAAGGAGCGAGCCGCGCCTTCGCCACGGCCCCGGGTCACCGCGCGGTCACGGCCCCGCCCCACGTGGAGTTAGAGCCCGCACGGCCAGGCGCGCCCCGCCTCTCTCCGCTAATTGGTTACCGTGCCTCGCGGCCGCCCGATGCCTAGCTGCTGATTGGCTCAACGCGGGCGTCATTTACAGGCGGAGGGCGGAATAACGCGCGTCCGTGACACCGGGCGCCGTCTGGGGCCGCCCCCGCGGCGTCTGGGGGCGATTTAAAGGGGCAGAGCCCGCAGGGTGCGCGGGGATGGGGATGGGGATGGGGATGGGGATGGGGATGGGGATGGGGATGGGGATGGGGATGGGGATGGGGATGGGGATGGGGATGGGGATGGGGATGGGGATGGGGATGGGGATGGGGATGGGGATGGGGATGGGGATGGGGATGGGGATGGGGATGGGGATGGGGATGGGGATGGGGCTACGGGGTCGCGACTGAGGGCAGCTGCTGTGCTCCACGGCCGTGCCCCGGCCCCGCAGCAGGCGCGGGTGGCAGCCATGTGGGGCCGTGGTTGTAAGGGTCGAGGCCGACCCTTGTTTGCCCGGCGGGGCTGCGGTGCCATCTCCTGAGTGCAGGTAGAGCCGGGGCCACCTGGTCTCACTTTCCGCGCAAGACACAAAAGGAGCTAAACCCAGAGCAGCTGGGTGTTGGCAAACACGAGTATGTTGTGTGTGTGTGTGTGTGTATCTAACCACGTATGTGAGTGCACGGGGGTATGCGGGCATCGTGTGGGGACAGGGCAACCCATGAACTGTTGGCAGCTGCTCTAAGCGACTGCACACGGATTCTGGCAGCAAAGCTGCTGTGAGTGGTTCTGCGCTGGCTTTCAGCATGACTGAAGTGCTTCCTCCGATGAGCCGAAGTCTTTACGTGGGTATGTCAGCACTCAGCCAGGGAGTTCAGGGTCACCTTTGTTCTCCAAAGACCTATTCCTCTCTCCAAAATGCCTGTTGTTCCATCAAGAAAAGTCATGGGTTATGTTTGTGCATCTAAAGCGCTTTCCCTAGCGCTAGCACAAGAAACTGAAATGTTTCCAGCTGGGGAGCTGTGAATTCTTAGGCCAATTATTTTTTTGTCAGTGAAGTGATACATTTCCTACCAGTGCCTTCAATAAAATGTAAAGGTAGGGTGGAGTCTTTCCAGTGACATCAGCTGGAGTTGTATCAGGCCCCAGATGAGACAGAATGGGTTGGAATAACATTCTGGTGGCTTCAGTAAAAATTTTCATTACAAACAAATACTCGTTGACATTTTAGCCCTCCTGGTTGGGAGCAAAACTTCCTAAATGGGATCCAACCCAGCGCTGTGCAGAGCTGGGAAACAAGCACTTGGGAAGAGGCAGCTGTGAACTGTCTGAGTTGGTGACAGCAGCTCCTGCCACAGGGTCATCGTCCTGCATTGCCTGATGCCACAGAGGGAAGGAAGGGGAGAAGAGGGCAAGTGAGTGGGTTCCCAGAGAGGGGTGAGGATTTTGGAGCAGTATTGTTCAAGGTCGGTTATTGACACTTTGCAAATGGGTTGAAGTCTCAGAAGGAGAACGCTTCTGCTGTTCGAGACAAGGATGAGGGCTCGTCTAATGAAGACTTAATTCGCAGCATGTGAATTTTTGTACACTTCAGATCATACCTGAGATGTAGCTGTACTGACTTTCAAAAGCAAACAAGCCTTAGCTAAAACTGGCGAGCACCTGTGTCCCTGCCCAGCATTGTTCTCCTGTCACAGCAGAGGTCCTGTTCTAGTTGTTGAAGAGAATACTTGAGTTTCTGGTACTGAACAGTTAAAAAAAATAAATTAAGAGGTTAGTCAACGAAAGTGGAAACCATGTCTGGAATTGTTAGAAATAAGGCTTGCTTGAAAATAAATATAGAATTATTCACCATGGTAACTATTGCCCTATTGCGTTAGTGCATATTGATTTAACATTAATCCAAAGACTAATGCTGTGAAGTATTTGGTCTCTTTAATGGACAACTGTTTAGTTAACAAAGCTTTAGGGAGTTGTGGAGTTTTTTGCTTTGTTTTTCCTTAGATCACCTCACCCACTTTAAGAAGAACATGATTTGACTCTAAGGTTACATATTTCTCACATGGATCTCTCTTTCCAATAACATTTTAGGAATTTACCCTTAGTGCTGCACTGTAATGATTATGCGGCGTTGCTCCCATCTTTAACTAATGCTGAAGTGTTGCAGTGAGGAATAAAGGGACAGATTTAAATGTGACCGCACAGGCAAATGCCTGACTTCTGGTCCGGCAATGAGTGAGATTATATTGTTGTCCAAAGCTAGCCCCAGCAGACTGATGTGTCTGCCCCAGGACCTCAGATACCATTGAAGCTCCCGTGTGTCCCGTTCCATGGCTGAAGAGCCCAGTGAGCAGCTCAGCTCACCCTGAAATTCCCACAAAAGCGGGAAGCGAAGGGAGATCTTGCAGTGCCAGCCTCATCCTGGAGCCGTCAGAGGTGTCTCTAGGGAGAACACAAAAAAAAACTGAAGAAAGCTTATCAGTGACAGAATACAGAGGCCAAAATCAACAAAAGTGTATTCCAGGAGAGCAGCACTTGCTCTGACAAACAGCAGTGGGCTGGAGGGTGGATAGCGTTATTACAAAGTACGGGGCGAAGCATTTAAATTAGCTGATGTACTTTTAATTTTTACAAGCCCATCTGGGATGACTTGAATTATTTGTTCTTAAATCATGGTGGAAAAATGCTGATTGTTCTTAAAGCCACATTCAGTGGTTCAGATGAAGTTGGGATGGTGGTAAACAGTGCATTTTTTAACCAGCATTGACTTGCAAACAGTTATTTTCTCTGTATTTTTCAAGAAGGTTAGGAAGACGTGTGAACTTGCAGCAGCCTGCATCTGAAACTGGAACCTTGATCCACCAGGGCTCTGCAAACTTGTAAAAACACCCCCTGGAACAAGGCAGCTGATTCACGGGGTGTGGGCAGGCGCCTCTCCCCCTGCAGAGCTGGCTCTTCCACCTCTCATCCAAGCCCGGGCACCAGGTCTTCCCGCCTGCACTGCCTCGGACACTGGTGTTGGTTTGGATCTTGTGAGATGCCTCCACCAAGGCTCCTCTGCCACAGCACCCATCCCCAGCACATCCTGCCTGCAAACAGGCCTCCGGCTGTGCCCTTCCATGTGCCACCCTGTCTCCCATTCCCTGGGCCCATAGGTGATGCTGTGCTGGATTGTGAAAGGCAAAGCTGTGCTTGAAAAGCAGAGAACGCAAAGGAGGACTCTGTAACCCACCAGGCAAGGATCTGACCTGCCACGGGAGAACAGTCTATTTCTTAAAGCTACATTTGCTTCCTTAAGACCATTTAAGGATGTGTCTGGGTCTTAAAATACAATAATTCTGAATCAAACACAAACTATGGCCATGGCTACACAGCCAATGATCTGGGAGAGCTGGTGCTGGCAGGCTGCTGCTGGCTGGTATCTCACACAACATAAGAAGCGTATAGTGTTCACCTTGACTTAATTTATGGTGGTGCTACGTATTTTAAGTGTGAAGGACTGTTAGTTGCAAGCTGGTGGGCTCAACTTAGTTTACAGCCACCTTTTATGGCCCGTCTAGTAAGGTCCATTGGGAAAGGGTCTCTAATATCCAGCTGCCGAGTGTTTTAAAAAGGAAAAGATGTATTTCCAGCTAAATAATAATAGAAGTGGGTTGATCAGTAAAGCTGTCTTACCTGGCATTTGTCTTCAGAGTTTTGACCACGTGTGCCTTGCTTTAAGCATTTTTAGAAATTTCCCTGGCATGAAAGAAATGGAGACTCCAGGACCTGAAGGAATTTAGCCAAAAGGCAGGTAAGAATTCTCCCTCCTGCATTACTGATGAGGAAACTGAGGCTGGGAACAAAATACAGAAATAGAATTGGAAATGCTTTATTCCCAGTTGTAGCATAGATTTGGGGATGTAATTGTCCCTCTCTGCTAGGCCTGCATTGAGCCCCATGCTGCTGCCCTGCGTTGGGGAACAGCACTCGTATGGTTATTCGCGTCTGCTCAGCATGGGAAAGCACAAACTCCTCGCAGCTCGTTTCTATTCGAGCCACAAGATCCCCTTCCGTGTTTCCTTTGGATTAGTAATTGTTGGGAGTTACCATCTGTCGAGTGGCAAAGAGTAAAAGATTAAACAACCTGGCAATTCCTTGTTCCTTCTCTTCAGGCGTTTTCACAGGACTGGATGAAGCACAGGCATGTATTTAGCATTAGTTTGTAAGCAGTCACGTAGGAATGAATTCCATTTTTTTTGGGGGGGGGAATAAAGGTTAAACTATACTGGTGAGCAGCACCGTGCCTGACCTGACTCTGGACACCATCTGCTCTGTACAATCTCTGTGTAGCTCTGTAGTGGGGCTGGGAGCCTGTCCCTTCCTTATTGCATCCCTCGGGAGAATGGGCCCCGCAAGGGCCTCTCCAGGTATTATGAGAAAATACACTTACAGAATACCTGAAGCCGCCTTGATCTCCAGTAACAGCATTCACGGAGTATTATAGCAGCTACTTTGCACCACTGTAGTTGAGCTTGTTTCAGCATTTTCACCCTAAACCTCTTTCACAGCTTTATTTCCCAGAAATAAATGACAATCTGTCTTGGTTAAGACTCTGCACACCGAGCCCTCAGGAAAAGGTGATGGTTTTAACTTTTACCTATCCAAAAAGTGAATCGGGTCCCTCCATTTTGAAGTTTGAAACAAAAATGGGAGTTCCTGTCTGAAACAGTTTGGTAGAAGGAAGTGAGCGTTGTCGTTTCCACACAGGAGCTAACGGCAGAATTTACACCAAGTTCAGATGCTTACAGGTGCCCCCCCCCCCCCCATTTCTTTTCCTGCCTCTCCCATTTTCTCTTGGAAATGCTGCATGGGGGAGCCGTCTGCGCAAGCCGAGCCCAGGGCTCCGCGCCTGCCGCTCTCGCGTGCGCGCCGTGGGGCCGAGCCTGCCCCGCGGGTGGATGTCCCGCAGCCCGGGTGCTTCTGGGACTCGGCTGCGAACTCCCCGCCCGGCCCCAGCGCCGCGGGGAGCTGACGGTGAGGGCGAGAAGCGAAACCGGCACCCACGGGCGGGCGGGAGCGAGCCCCGGACCCCACGGACACCGCGGCTCCCTCCGCCGGCTGCCCCTCGGCAGCGCGGGGCCGCGCGCGGCAGCCCGGGGCGCGCTCCCGCCGAGGCCCCCCCCGCGGCGGCGGCGGCGGCGGCGCGGGGGAAAGGGCAGTCCCCGTCTGGCGCTGACGTCACAGAGCCCGCCCGCGGCTGGCGGCGGCGCGCGGCCGCGTCCCCGTGGCCGTGAATGAGCGCGGGGGGCGGGAGCGGAGCGGGAGCGGGCGGGCAGCGCTCCCACCGCGTCCCAGCGCGCCGCGGCCACAAAACTGCGGGGCTGCCGCGCACCGGGCCCAGCGCAGCCGCTCCCCGCGATCGAGGGGGCGCGGAGCAGCCGCCTCCTAGCCCCGTCGAGCCGAGCCGAGCCGCGCAGAGCCGAGCCCGGCCGCACACAGCCGCTGCGGGGGGCGCTGCTCGCTCCGCGCCGCGCCGGGTTTTTCATTTCCAATTTTTGATCGCAGCTGCATTTCCCTCCCCCCGCCCCCCCCGCGCCGAGGAGGAGCCCCGGCTTTATGTGGCGCTGCCCGGGGAGCGCTCGGCGGCCGCCAAGTTCTTTGTGTCGCCGTCGCCGTCTTTTTTTTTTTGTCTTTTTTTTTTATTTTAAATTTTAAATGTACAACTTCATGGGGCTGAACAGCACGGCCGTAGCTATTCAGCCCAATGTGTCCTGCACATGCAACTGCAAAAGGTCTTTGTTCCAGAGCATGGAGATCAGTAAGTACTTGTCCTGCTGCGGCTGCCGCGGGGCCGGCCCCGGTTTCCCCCGGGTGCGAGGGGGGGTGCGGTGCGGGTGGGGAAGTTTCCGCGGGGGCTTCCAGCGCTGCGCTTCCGCGGAGTGATTATTATTATACACCCCACTCCCTCCCCCCGGTGCTCTCATCTGTTGCGGCGTGCGCGGTGCGGGTGTGACACGGCGCGGGTGAGCGCTGACACGGGGGCCGAGCTGGCGGGGCAGCTCCCGGCTCTTCCCCATCTCCCGCACCTCGCGCGTTGCCCCTCGCCGCAGCCCCGCGATGCTCCGACCGGTGCTTCCGCCTGTCTGCCGGGCAACGGGGGTGCCGCTGACCGGCCCCGAGCCTGCACCGGGGGTCCTCGCCAGCCCCGGGTGTTCATCGCCTTCCTCTGGTTACGGGGGGAGCGCTGCGGTCCGGACACCCGAGTGGGGCTTACTTATATTTGGGAACCTGCTCCCCCGCCTCCAGCCCCTGGGGCTTTTTGTTACGAGGGGCTATTTGCAGGTTTTATTAGTGTTTTGAACCCTCGCAGAGTGGCGGTGAGGACAGTGCCTGACCTAAATACCCACTACTTTTCTGTTTGCTCTTTCCCTCTTGGAGATGGAGCGCACGGAGGTGAGAGAGAAAGAACATTATTGCTGAGGAAGGAGAAGTGAGTTGGTTTCTCTGGCAATTTAATACAGACGGTATTTTCTGTGAAGGGAAGGGTTTTGAGGCATCCCAGGCTGGGCGGGTTGTCAGAGTTGTGCCCGCTTAACACCTTGTTCTGTGTTGTGAAATCTAAATCCGACACAGACTAATGCAAAATGGCACAAAATGAAAACTTGGGAAAGAGTCTTGGTTTTGCATATATTCCTGGCACTGCGGTGGGGCAGGCTCATGCTCGGTGCATGCAGGGGAAAGTCAGCTGAGCTCTGCCTGTATCTTCTAGCACAGGGTTTGCCCTGTTACCTCCAGCGGGGCTGCAGAGCAGTATTTTAGAGCCAGCATCTGTCCCTTGGTATTCTGGGTGGCTTTTGTCCAGTGTCATCTGCCTTCGCCTTCTCTGGTTTCATCGTTGTTTAATTCAGGTGTCCTGGAGAAGGTCTGTAGGCATTTGTATGCTGGGTACTAAAATGTGTTCCTTCTGAATTTTAGCATAAACCATACCCTTTGTACTGTATGCACATTTAATCTTGATTTAATCTCATTCGTGTTCAGACAAAACTAAGCTGGATTTGCCTGATTTTATTAACACTACGGGTACTGAATAGACCATAATTCTTCCCTGACTTTAACAGGCCGGGCTAGATATGCATACCAATAGCAGTGTATAAATAATGAAGATACAGTTCTTTTTTGTGTCAGCCAGTTGGTGAACATAAACTGTGTCCCACAGAATTGCAAGGATGAGAGACTTTACTTTGTGTCAGATCAAGGCTCATGGTTATGATAAAAGTTGTGAATTAAAATATGTAATGTCTTTTGAAGAAAAGGCTTCTCTTCCAGCCTAACTCTTGGCATGGGGCTGTATTGAAACAACTCTGGCTTTGCAATTCCATTCCTTGGCTTTTTAGAAATAGCGTATTTTACATTTTTTTGCCCATTTTTTTCAGCATGTGCAAGGCTTGGGAGGGGGCAGATGCCCATTATGGATGTGGGGTGAGAGGCTGGGGACAGTGGAGTGTATGCTGGAGGACACCTTGCCTGGATTTGATGTGTGTTGTGGGAGCCTGATGCCGTGCGGCTCCCGAGATCCTTCCCGTACCCGCGCCCGGTATCAGCCACTCGGCTCTGGGATCCTGGCACTCGGGCACCGAGTTCCGATCAGCTCCCGGGAGCCTTGGATTGAGCTCCCTTAATGCTGCCACCCTTACCTCATTTTCGGGTAGGTTTCTGTATCGCCAGTGTTCTTTATTTATTTCCTGCCGATGGCGGGCAGCATTAGCTCACCTCTGTGCTACAGGAGGGCTTCGGTTGCACTGCAGAGGCTGTTACCTGATCGCTCCCTCCACCTGGGATCAGTGGAGAGGACAGGGTTGAGCCTTCCTAAGATAAATTCATTATATAGTTTTCCCCCACCTCCAATCACTTGATTTTATTTCTCTTTCTAATACGACTTTGAGCAGCTACCACCAGATGCTATTTAATTTTCTAGCCAAAAGTTGCCACACAGGAGTGCTTCAGGAAGGTGGCATAACTGCAAACTCTTTTAATTTACCTCTCTAATTAGGTTAACTGTACAACTGATCCCCAAAAACATTTCTTTGCAGGCTTTATTCCATCTGGCAGGCTGCGGCGCTGCGGTGGAGGAAGCAGCTGGGTTCTGTGTGTGGCGCTCCCAGATTAGGATTAGAAAAGGGCTTTTTGGGGGGCGGGGAGCAGAGTCTCTCCCACTGGGGCTGTAGTGCCAATACACCAGGCAGCCTTAAGCAGCCAGACGTCTGTGCCCGTGGTCTCTAATCGCTTCGGCTGGGTGAGAGAGGTCAGGGGTGATTGTCGTGGCGGAAGAGCCTGTAAATAACTAATTATTTGGCACAGGGAACGTGCTGCCTTCCCGCCGGCTTCCCCACTCACTCCTCCAGGGCAGCTCAGCTCCAATGCTGTGGCCCTGCAGGGACTTACCCTGGAGGATAAGGGGATGCTGCCTCCACGGGCACCCGAGCATACGTGTAAAAGGATGACTTGAGGCGCAGGGCATGAGGGCAGGTGGAGGCTTTGCTCGTGCAGTGCCATTCGGGAGGTCAAGGTGTGTTGTTGATCTTCCCAGGAGATGAAGCTGTTCCCCTCGCCTTCCCAGGGTCAGAGCAGTGTGCCCGAGAGAGCTGGTTTGTGTTCAGGCGAGGACTTCCAGGTTTTCACATTCTTTGGTTTAATAACAAACCAAAGGCAGATGGCTCAGCTAGGGATCGCGTCTCCTTTCCACTTCGGACTGCTTTTCTGGCAAATAGGTTTCTTTCCTGGTGCTGTGTCAATGGCAATTCCGGCTTCTTCCAGGGCATAGTGGAAAATAGCCATGTACTTCTTTCTTGCCCCCAAGTTTTCCTTCAGGAGGGAGGGATGGGAGAGCTGCTACTAGTATTTCAGCAAGCCAGAGAGCGTTTGCACAGAGTGTGCTCAGCTTGTGGCATCTCAGTTTGACTCCAGCCAACCCGGTCTGTTCCCTGTGTCTGGCTCTGGCCCTGTGTCTGTCTGTGGCAAACGCTGCTTTTTGCTGAGATCAGCGTCCCCAGGTACAATACAGGAGGAGTGGAGCAGGATGGCTTTTGCTTATGGTGGCCTGGGAACTGCCTGTAGTGCCCTTGGCCATGCCCAGGGACCCTGTCAGTCTGTGGCCCCAGCACTGCAGGTCCCACCTTTCGTACCCAGGGCAGGAGGGAAAGTCCTAATTCCCTGCGCCTGGAGAGCACAGGGGTCTCAAAATTACAGTTAATTTTGTGCCCCCAGGCAGTGATTCTAATCTTAGTGTTTTATAGTTGGTGTTGAATGAGAGAGTGAATATACACAGGGGAGGAAATGGGGGGAAAA